CAACAAGTCATCACTTGGATATTCAGATTGAATGTTCTATTTTGTAATTGTAATTACAGTTTGGTACTGGGAGAAGATAAGTGTAACATCCACCTACTCCACAGCCATCTCGGATCCTCTGTAAAATTTGGATTTTTTAATATTTAATCAGTTTAGTATTTTCTTTGATGTTTAAAAAATATAAAGTGTAACATGATCTTCCCACACTTTCCAGTGTTTCCTATCTCAGCAAATGAATACCTACTATCTATTTGTATGAATTAGACTAGAAATTATTAATTCATTCAGTCTTTCAACAAATATTTATTGGGTGCCTGCATTTGTTCTGTGAACAAGTCAGACAAATTTTCTGTCTCATAAACTTGCAGTGACACTGGGAGGAGACAGATAATGAGCAAATAAAGTGGTCAGGGAATGTCTTTTTGGGTGGGCAGTATTTAATCTGAGAGCTGAGTGAAAAGGAGACAGACATGTGAAGACCTTGTGGAAGAGCTTTGGAAACTGAAGAAACAGCAATTTCAAAGACCCCAAGTGGGAATAATACTAGTATTGTTCAGTAAAGAGAAAGGCCAGAGTAAATAGACTGTACCAAGAGGAAAATGATGAAATTGAATGGGTAGATAGGGGCCAGATTACATGGGAATTTGTAGGCTACAAGAGCAATTTTCAACCTTTTTTTTTCTCATGGCACATATAAACTAATTACTAAAATTCTTAGTAATGGATTCTTAAGTAATTCTTAAAATTCTTAGTGGCACATGAAAAAATACATTTTTTGCCAATCAGACAAAAATAGGTATAATTTTGATTCATTCACATTGCACAGTTATTGTGTTGGCGATTGCCATTTTTCTTCTAAGGAAAAAGAGGTCAGTGACCCTAACTAGTCAAGTATTACATGTTTTAAAAATTCCTGTGGCACATCTGTGTGTTGTGGCATACCAGTTGAAAATTGCTGGGCTAGAAAATGGAGTTTTGATTTTATTGTTTGTGCTATCAAGATTTAAGGGGAATGACACATCACCATCATCTTAATAGCTAACATTGAGTGCTTACTACAGTGCTAGACGTGTTCTAAGTGCTTTATATGTTATCTCATTTAGACTTCATAATAGGCCCATGAGATAACAGTAATATTGTCCCCTTTTGAAGGATAATAATGTCACCTGTGGGTAAATTAATTTTTATAACACTTCTTAAAATTTGAGATAAAATTCACAAACAAAAAAGTGCATAGATTTTAAAGGTATTATGATGAATTTCAACAAACACATTCCCATGTAACCACAATTCCAGTCAAGTTCTAGAACTTTTCCATCAACCTGTAGAGTTCCCTCATGCTTCTTCCTAGGCACTACTCCCCACCTCCTACCTGGAGGCAATCATTACTCTTACTTTTATCATCATTGAGTAATTTTGCCTGTTCTTGAACTTCATGTAAATGGAATCATATGGACTTTATGTCTGCTTTTTTCACTTATCATATTTTGATGCTTGTTTATGTTGTATTTATCTGCAATTAATTCTTTTATTGATGACTAGTATCCCATTGTATGAATATGCCTGATTTTATTTATTCATTCTTTTGTTAGTGGACATTTGGGTCATTTCAAGTTTTTAGCTTTTGGCAATAGGGATGCTGTGAACATTATTGTATAAATATTTTTGTTCACGTGCTTTTACTTCTGTTGGGTAAATACCTAAGAATAAAATTGGTGGATTGTATGATTAGCTTTATAAGAAACTCTCAGTTTTCCAAAGTAGGTATACATTCCAACTGGCAATGCATGAAAGTTTTGATTTATATTTTTAAAAGATTTCTCTTGTCTGTGAAGCCTGAATTTTAATGGAGCAAGAGTGAACGCAGAGAGACAAGTTAGGAAGCTTTGCATAGTCCAGGTGAGAGGTAATAGTGTCTTGGACTAATATGGAAGTAGAGGAGATGAAAATAAGGGGTTGGATTTGGCATGTAGGTAAAGTTAGCAGGGCTCATTGATGGATGAGGTAAGGAAAGATAAGTGAAATGGCCAAATTAATGCCAACACCTACACATGTATCATGAGCAACTGAGTAGTTGTTCATGCCATTTACTTGTTCATGCCATCTCCTCACTAAGATGAGGAGATGATTACAGGAGAGAGCAAGCTGAGGAAGTGGTGATGAACTAGGAGTTGTGTTTTGGATGTACTTTTCACGACCTATCAGACATCCAAGTAGACATTTCAAATAGACAGTCAGATATGGCATGTATGAATTTCAGGAAAGAAGTCAGATTGAAGAGGGAGTGATTTTTGAAAGAGAAGAAGCTAGGACTGTGTGTGCCCTTTAGCTCAGCAACACTTAGAAATATAAAAAAGAGTAAGAAGAATCAATAATACCCGGGAAACATGTCAAGGAAATAAGAATTATGACATTATGAAAATGTTTCAGGAAGAAGGCAACAACCAGTTATATTCAAGGTGCTTAAGAATTTGAGAAAAGTGAGGCTAGAGAAGTAATTTTTGGATTTGGCAAGTTGAAAGTTATTGGTGACCTTAAAGAATTTTGGTGGAATCCTGGTTGGTTAGCTAAAGTTGCTTAAAGCATGGTCCCAATACACCAAGGTTGCAGGTTTGATCCCAAGTCAGGACGCAATTAATTTTTTTTTTAAAGAATTTTGGTGGAGTGATAAGTTCAGAAGCTTACCTTTGAGTAAAACAAAAGAGGTGAGAAAATTGAGACAAGTATAGACATCTCTTTTAAGAAGCACTGTGTGTGTGTGTGTGTGTGTGTGTGTGTGTGTGTGTGTGTGTAGGGGAGTTGATAAATGGGGCAGTAGCTGGAGGAGAATATGGGGTCAAGGAAGGGTTTTTTTTCTTCCTCTAAAGATGGATGACATACTTGATATCCCCCTTACTCTTTCCCATCCACACTAAACTTGAACCATTATCAAGTTCTACTTAGTCTACCTCATAAATTGCTCAAATCTATCCATTTGTCTCCACTACCACTGCCACCACTTTATCCAAGTTATCATCTCCCACATAGACTACTGCAATAGGAGTTCGAACTGACCCCCTACCCTCACTGTCACCCTTGGACCCTAATCTCTTCTGCACACTTAAGCCAGACATTGTCCAAATACAAATCTGATCAAGAGACCCCATTCTTGTACCCTATCCCTACTATATTATAAAAGACTTCCCATTGTTTTTAGGATAAAGACAAAACCACATGACTTTTAAGTCCCTACATGGTCTTCCCATGCATATTCCCTGATTTCATCTACCACTTTCCCTCTTACTTTCTGTGTTTCAGCTACACTTGTTCTAATCTGGCCACTAGATGTTTGGACTTGAGTTTCTCTCTGACTGGGATATTCTTACTCCCACATCTCTCCTTCTCCATCACACTCTATCTATTAACAACTACTTTTTCTTCAGATGTTCAATTCAATCATCCGTTCCTCGGAAAAGTTTTCCCTGAACTCTAACCACATTAATTCCCTTTGTTATATTGTACTTGCATAGTACCGAGTAGCTTTCCTTGATAACACTTTCCAAACTTGTGATTTTTCATTTTCTTGTGATTATTTTATTGTCTGTCTTCCTTACTAGTTCTTAAGCTCCATGAGAGCAATGGCAGTTCTATGAGGGTAGTGACTGTCTTTCTTTTCTTTTGCCACTATATATACAATGCCTGGCACAATGCCTGACACATAGTAAGTACTCAAAAAATATTCATTAAGTAAATTGAATTCCATGAATGAATGAACCCTAATTGTTAATACCTCATTAAGTAACACAATATAGACTCTTTAATTAATTTGGAAATTCTCTAGTATCTCTGGAAGAAGAAATGGCAGTTAACATTATTATTTAAGTCATTAAGTTGAGAATAACTATTAGAAACTACATTCCCTGATACATAACTATCTTTGATCATCTGAGGTTTTACTTGCTGCTTCATTATTTTAAATTCTTTCTCTCAAAATTACCTGTGGTTGCATTGGTAAATATCACAGATACTCTTCTTTTGTAAATCATTAATTTCAGTTCAGTTTCCTGCCACTTAACTTTATCAAAGATATGATTAAACATAAAATTGATCATTGAATTTTATTTCACTTAATTTCCTCTGCCATTAAGGGCAATTTTATGAAGAAACTACTTAACATTAGAGTCAATTAATTATCTCACAACCAGAAAAAAATTAAAAATTCATGGTTACACATGACTTCACTTATACATGGAATCTAAAGACAAAATAAAAAACAAAATAGAAACAGACTCAGAGGACAGACTGAAGGTTGACAGAGGGGAGGAAGGATGGGGGGCTGCGTGAGAAAAAGTGAAGGGATGAAGAAATACAAATTGGTAGTTATAGAACAGTCACAGAGATATAAATTACAGCATATAATCAATAATATAGTCAATATAGTCAATAATATAGTCAACAATATTGTAATGACTATTTATGGGGCCAATAATACTGTAATAACTATGTAGGTGGACACTGGAAATATTGGGGAAACCACTCTGTAAAGTACATGATTTTCTAACCACTATGCTGCACATCTGAGACCAATACAGAGTAATATTGAATATAAACTGTAATTTAAACATTTTTTAAAAGATTTAAAAATTCATGGTTGATCTTAAAACTGTAAATATTAACCCTGAATAAGAAGTAGCTTAATTTACATTCTATGAATAAAATAGGTATAATGAAATCTGTAATATATGAGATGGCAATATATAAGTTTATTTGTGCTTTTAAAAATAAATATGGGTGGAGGGATTGAGCAAAAAGGAAAAAGGATTCATGGACATGGACAACAGTGTGGTGAATTGCTGGGGGAAAGGAATATAAAGGGTTTAAATAGCAGTAGAAAAAAGTATAACAAAATTTTTTTTAAAAAATAACTATGTAGTAATATTTATTCTATGTTTTATATCCTTATATATACCTATTATAAATAAAATAATTCATTTTAATAATCTCTATAAAATATTTTTCAGAGAAATATTTCAAAATTCTGAATTCAAAGCAACTGATGAGAGATGCAGCCAAAGAGCATCAGAGGCAAAGAGTAAATCTCATTCTCAATGTGTTTTTATTTCTCGAAATTTTCATACAGGAACATTTCAATTAGAGGTACAGTGAAATTTTTTCAAATAATTTTTTTGATACCATGTCATTAGCATTGTTGTCTTTCAATTTTATCTACTGTTATTTTTTAAGCTGAGGGACAATAACATGAGCTAAATTTAAATTACCTAAACTAGTTATGGTTTATATTATAGGACACTGAAAAAATAAATGAAAATGTCTCCTATAGTTGCTTCACTAAATCTCTAGCCTGAGAACCTATATTCTCCATATTATTATGGCGAGGATAAATGGCTAAGAAAAACAAAACCAAATTGCCAGGCCTATCTGAGGGAAGAGATTCAGAGATAAGAGGATACTCAGATAAGCATATAATCTACTGGAACCAACTAATAAAAATAAAGGCTTTATTAAGCCTTCATTATATCCCAAGCTCTGTTCCATTCCCCATTGAGGGTAGTAAGATATGAACCCTACATTCAAGGTGCTAGCTAGTGCAAGTGTGAAAGGCAGAAACCTAATTAACTCTGTGTTACGTGTCAAAACACTGCTAAGTAAGGGTGAGACCAGTAGAAACTTAAAAGTATGATATAGTTAAACAAAACAAACAGTTTAGTGGTTTTATAACATTAATATTGAAATAGCAACAAAATGATAATATGTCAAAGTTTCATTTTACATCTTGAATATTGAACTCAAATTGAACTCAGTGTTTATTCGTTCATTTAACAAACATTTTTTGAGTGCCTTAAATATGGCAATACTAGTTTTGGCACTGAGTCTACATAAACAAATTAAGACATGAGTCCAGGCCTAGATGATCCCAAAGTGAGTAGAAAAGAAAAACATACAAACTAAAAATTATAATGTGATAAGAGCCACAAAACTAAAGAAATGTAGACACCGAAGTATAAATTAAGAAAGGCTGCACAGAGAAGACATTTTTAGCTGGGTTTTGAAAAATGAATAGAAGTTGGCCAGGAGAGAAAACGAAGAACAATATGTTCAAAAGCTTGCAGCTATGAAAGAAATAACATGCTCAGAATAACATTATAATGTGCAGGGATTCCCAACCTTTTGGCACCTCAGGGCTACACTGGAAGAAGAGTTGTCTTGGGCTACACATTAAACATACAAACACTAATGAAAACTGATGAGCAAAAAAAAAAGGTTTTAAGTAAATGTACAATTTTGTGTTGGGCCACATTTATAGCCATCCTGGGCCACATGCCACCCATGGGCTGCAGGTTGGACACCAGATTTGTTTGTTTGTTTGTTTGTTTGTTTGTTTGTTTGTTTGTTTGTTTGTTTAAAGATGCTGAATTTTTTAATTTAAATTATTTTATTGTTCAATTACAGTTGTCGGTATTTTCTCCCCACCCCTTCCCCCCCACCCCCTCCAAACCCACCTCCCTCACTTCCACCTTCCCCCTTGGTTTTGTCCGCATGTCCTTTATCACAGTTTCTGAAAACCTTTCTTCCCACTGTCCCCTCTCCCCTCCCCTCTGGCTATTGTTAGATTGTTCTTAATTTCAATGACTCTGGTTATATTTTGTTTGCTTTTTTCTTTTGTTGATTGTGTTCCAGTTAAAGGCAAGATCATATGGTATTTGTCCCTCACTGCCTGGCTTATTTCACTTAGCATAATGCTCTCCAGTTCCATCCATGCTGTCACAAATGGTATAAGCTCCTTCTTTCTCTCTGCTGTGTAGAATTCCATTGTGTAAATGTACCATAGTTTTTTGATCCATTCATTTGCTGATGGGCACTTAGGTTGCTTCCAGCACTTGGCTATTGTAAATTGTGCTGCTATAAACATTGGAGTGCATAGGTTCTTTTGGATTGATGTTTCAGGGCTCTTAGGTATAATCACAGAAGCGGAATTGCTGGACCAAAAGGCAGTTCCATTTTTAGTTTTCTGAGGAAATTCCATACTGTTTTCCACAGTGGCTGCACCAGTCAGCCACTGGATTAAAACCACTCACTGTGGTTTTAATTTGCATCTCTCTAATGGCTAGTGATGCTGAGCATCTTTTCGTGAGTCTCTGGACCCTCTGTATGCCCTCCTTGGAGAAGTTGGATACCTGATTTATAAAAAGCCAGTGGTGGGAAAAGATCCTGGAGGTGACATTATAAGGAGCCTCATTTGCAGTTTAAGGACTTTGGATTTCACCCCATAAACTCTACAGATCCACTGGCAGCATTGTAGGATTATGATCAAGAACATAGATTAAAGAGGTTAAAATCCTTGCTCTATCACTACTAGCTGTGTAATTTTAGGCAAGTTACTTAACTTGTCAGTGTCTCGATTTCTTCATTTGTAAAATGAGAATGATTCCATCTCCATGAAATTGTTATGGGAATTAAATAAATTAGCATATAAAAAGCACTCAGAATAGTACCTAGCCATGTAGTGAGCTCCACACAAATATACTGCTATTCCTGGAGGGCTTCAAGCAGACAGGTTTAATGATCAAATCAATTCTAAAGATAATTAAGGAAAACTCTGACTTTCAAATGAAAGATAGTTTGAAACAGAGATAGCATTGCAGAGAAATAATTGTTTCTATGTATGCATTTAATACTAACTGAATTAATGATACCCATCACATGCTAGGAATTTTGCTAGGTACCATTGATACAATGGTGTCTTCATACCCAATATAAGATACATGCAAAAATATAAATACAAAAATATCATGAATGCTATTATGGAAGAAGTACATGTACAGGAGCACTAAATTTTAATTAGGTTGTTTATTATTTATTCATCACATATGAAGAAATGCTTATGTGCCAGGCACTGTTCTAGGCAACTGGAAATTTGCTCTTATGAGATTTATAGTCTAGTGGGAGAGATAAATAATGTACAGGTAAACACAAATCATTCTTCAGGACTCTTGATAGTCAGTGAAAAGAACCTAATTCAGAAGAAAAGATAAAACATAGTATGAAAACATAATATAAAAGAATAATACATTGTTGACCTCAGCCACAATCAGTTTCAGAATATACAGGACTCTCATATGGTCCCTCTTTTTCTCACCCCAATTTCTGCCCCTTTCTCTGTATTGGCCTCTTTCTTTCTTACTACAACAGATGAACAGGAGGATGAAAATTATTTTTAAAATATGGTTTAAATTAATGTAGAACTCTAGCTTAGTTTCTGAAAGAGCTTTTATTGTATAATGCAACCCACACAAAAAGAATACACATGCAGTTTAAAGAATAATAAATGGAATTTTTATACCCACCACTCAGAATAAGAAATAGAATATTACCAATACCTTTGAGTCCTGAGTCTTTATCTCTTAAGACATCCCACACTCCCCCCACTTCACTGAAGGACCCACTATCCTGCAATTGCAATAAACTATTTCCTTGTTTTTCATTATTTTACCACAAATATTATAGGTCCTTAAACAATGTATTATTAAATTTTATGTTTTGGGGCCCCTTGTAAAATATACGTTTCCCTTTTTATTCAGTATTACATTTCTGAGGCTCATCCCGGTTGGTCTGTATACCCATAGTTCATTATTTTTACTTTTATATGGTATTCCATTGTTTAAATATATCAATATTTATGTTATGGATGTTGGGCTTTTTAAATAAAGATTTTATTTATTTATTTTCAGAGACAAGGGAAGTGAGGGAGGAAGAGAGGGAGAGAAACATTGATTAATTGCCTCTGGCACACCCCCAACTGGGGACCTAACCTGCAACCCAGGCAGAGCCCTGACAGGAAAGTGAACCAGTGACCTTTCAGTGTGCAGGCCGGTGTTCAGTCCACTGAGACACACCAACCAGGGCTGGGTTGTTTTTAGTTGTTTCCTTGTTTTTAGGAAATGTCAGTGGGGAACGTATCTAAAGGTAGAACTGCTGACTTATGGGAATGTGCAAGTTCAATGTCATTAGATAACTCCAAACTGTTTCCCAAGGTAGCCCTATCAACACCCATTCCCCTAAGGCATGAATAGGTGCTAGGATGCTCTGCATCTTCAAAACAGTATTGATATTTTTAGGCTCCTAATTTTTTGACAATCTGATGGCTGTGGTAGTATCTCACTATAGTGTTTTCTTAATAGAATTTATTTTTTGAGCGATTTTTGGTTCACAGCAAATCTGAGCAGAAAGTAGAGTTCCCATTATCCCTTGCCCCACACCCTCCCCCATTATCAACATCCAGAGAGGCACCTTTTTTATGATCTTTGAACTTGTATGGACACATCCTATCACCCAAAGTCAATAGTCTACATTAGAATTCACTCTCATGTTATACATGCTATGAGTTTTGGGAAAAATATGTTTATATATCACATATGATATATATTATATATGATATACTGGGTCCAGCACAAATAACCCCCCTTTTTATTACAACATCTTTTATTGCAAAATCACAAGCATGTAATTCTGTAGCATAATATCACACTCAAGCACACCACATGGCATTTTAAGTGAAATGTTCAAATTAAAACTATAAATTATTACACCCATATTATTACCCTACCAACCACACTCAAGCAAGCCTTACTTCTGCCAGACCCTGTATATTGTCAAAACCATAGACGGGGTGGGGAGACAGAGAGAGAGAGAGAGAAGATGGGAGGATAAAGGAAGGGAGGAGGAGAGATTCCCCCATTAAAGTATCATACAGAAGAGTTTCACTACCCTAAAAATCTTGTTGTTTTTTGTCTGTTCACTCCTTCCTCCCTTCTAATTCCTGGCAAAAACTGATCATTTCACTATTTCCTTAGTTTTACCTTTTTCTGAATGCCATATAGTTGGAATCATATAATATATAGCCCTTTCAGATTGGCTTCTTTCACTTAGTAATATGCATTTAAGGTTCTCTCTGACTTGTCAAGGCTTGATAGCACTTTTTTTGCGCTGAATAATATTCCATCATATGACCACAGGTTGCTTATCTACTCCCTTGCTGAAGTACATCTTGGTTGCTTCCAAGTTTTGGCAATGATGAATAAATCTGCTATAAACATTCATGTGCAGATTTTTGTGTACACATATGTTTTCAACTCATT